GCGCTGGTGGCCTCTCCAGATATAATTACTGGTAGCACATGTGAAAACCCATGTTGATGTAAGTGGACCAGTGCCAGTGAGTCTTAAGTCCTCAGTGTTAAAGTCTAAGTCTAGTCCTCCACAGAGGAATCTGAGCTAAGTCCAAGTCCAGTCCTCATTACCTGAGTCAATTTAGCTCCAGCAGAGATGCACTCATTGATTCTGATGTGGTGGGATCACTGCAGGTGTCTTTAAACTCTTAATACCTGTAACCCAGCGACAGCTAATCAGTTTTTGAATAACTAACATTTCAGACACAGTGGTTAGTTCAACTTTGTGACACTAAATACTCTGACTTTAAAATCAAAAGATCCGTCTTTTCCTTCAAATGTCCCTTTGTGGTGTACCCCTCATCCGTTGAAGTTTGACTTAAAGTTTCTTGCACTTTTACTGCATTTAGTTTAAAAACCAACAGAGCTACTTAGTACTTTAGAAGTGCTATTCAGTGGAGGTGACCACAGTAACTCTGCCTACCATAACGTCATGTATGTGTAGTGTATCCAACGATTCAACATAGTTTTGAGAGCTGTGAAATCTTTATGAATAACATACCTTAACATATAAAAATTGGATTGAGGTTGAAAAAAAAATCAGAAATTCCTCTAAAAAGAAATATATATATTACAGCAGAGAAGAGAAGACATCAACAGGTCTTTCCTGACAAATATTTGTTTTGGTGAGTTCAACCTTTTCCGCTGCTTGTCAGAGATAGAGGTGATTATAGTAATGTTACTTTGTGTCATGGCTAATTCAGTTACAATTCCTCACCACTCTTTTTATAATGTCATATTAGCAGTTTAGGACTTTCCTATGTTTTTTAATGCTGCATCTAGTTTGCATGGGCATTGTGTGACCAGTCAATTTTCCACCCCAGTGTGGGGATAAGCAGTTATCTAATTGATACCAGGCCCATTGTTTTTGTGTCACCTTGCCCCATTTCAAAGCTGTGTCACTGCGCTTTGAATACAAAGCATTAAAAAATTATCCAACTTATTAGACATTGGGGAGTTTCAATGTGAAGTGTTTCTTTCTTATCATGAATTAGTCACTAAGCGACAATAATTAATAACCAAAAACCTCACACACAAATAACATTTCATTTCTTAAGCACTATTCGATGCCAAAATGTTTCCTGCTATTGCTGGAGTAGTTTTGAAATAAAATCTACACAGCCTCTTGTCATTGCAACCATGTACGTCACTGAGACACACACAAAGCCTGACACAGTGGTTATGCAACATCATGTAGTAAATGGCTGCGTAATTTCGTGGGTATGTGCAGTCAAAACCGCAAATACAAACTGTGTTTAACCATTAGGTCAGACAAAACACAGCATATGGCTCAGTTAAGGTACTTGAAGCAGCAAGTATGGTGGTTAAATATGAAGAAGAATATCAAAACACTGAAATCAAACAATGTGTAGTGATAGACTTTTTTGGAAGAGGGAAGTTAGAACAGTTTTTTCTTCAAATAAATTTCTTCAATTGATTTATTCAGCTTTACATGTTGCTCATTTCAGCAAACATCAGTTTAACAGAGATTTATTTGTTGGTGAGTGAATTTTTAAGTTGCTGATAATTACTGTAAGCTTTGTGCAAGGCAAAGAAAGCTAAATACACTAAACAAAAATATAAACACCACACTTTTGTTTTTTCTCCTATTTTTAATGAGCTGGATTCAAAGATCTCAGACTTTTAAAGTGGCCAGTCTAAGGTACACCTCTGCAATAATCCTGCTGTCTAATCAGCATCTTGATATGCCACACCTGTGCAATAATCATGCTGTCGAATCAGCATCTTGATATGCCACACCTGTGAGGTGGATGGATTATCTCAGCAAAGGAGGAGTGTTCACTAACACCGATTTAGACAAATTTTAACAAGATTTGAGAGAATTGTTTTTTTGTGTAAATATAAAAAGTCTTCGATCTTTGAGTTCAGCCCATGACAAATGGGAGCAAAACAAAAGTATTGTGTTTATGTTTTTGTTTAGTGTATATTGATAAAGCCCCTTTCAAACATAAGGCACATCAAAGTGCTGTAGTGATTGTAATGTTAAAAAGTGTGACATTTACATGACTTGTATTTAACTACTCCTGCCCACTTTGTCTTACTTAACTTTTCAATAAAACAATAACAAATAAAAAAATCCCCAAATTTCAACCTAAAGCTCCTGGGAGGAGTTTTTGCATGTTTACGAAACAGAATGAAATTAACTGCAATGTGTCTCTGAGATGTTCAAAAGGGAATGCACCCATAGATGAAATGACTGACATTGTACTCTGAGGAAACAGCCTTTGTGACCTTTTCCACAGCAAACATTTACAGGACCTGAGGAAATCAGCGACAATAAAAAGGTTACCACTTAATTTATATGGGGTTCCAAAATCAACGCAGACAGAAAGTTCCCCACAGGAGCTTTAACTGTAAATTGAAATGATTGATTCTGCCAACAATCCATAACCAAAAAGAAGTGACTTTTTTTTAGCTGCCTTTTAAAATCAACCTTATGTGACAACTTGTTAGTGTCAGATAAATGCAAAGAATAATGTATAGGGAACAAGTGGTTATTTCATTCAAAGTTTTTTTTACTGACCAAATCAGTACTCAAAAGTATTTGCACACTGAGTCCATGTTTTCACGGATGACTGTTTTCAATGGATATTGTGATAGACACCTGTCATGAGCAGATGCGTTTCTTTCTTTATTCATACCGTTCAATATTCATTACAAAAAATTGAGGTGGTAAAATTGAATCATCAAGCAGTAAGGATGATTTTGTAGTTCTTTCACACAGTAAAAAGACAAAGAAAACTCCATCCACTCCTGTAAAAATGTCAAGAGCATGACGGGTTTTACTTTGCGATGAAGGAGCTGCAGTTATTCTGATCACTTTCAGACATATTTCAGGATGACAATAACACAGTTTAATTGGCTTCTAGCAACACAGGAACCACGCATTACAAAGTAGACCACCAATTTCTGCAAAGCAATTGATCTTGGTGGTATATTTGAGGTAGGGAGGCTCACAAACACTGGACGTGGAAACTCAGGCAGGATCATGGCTGTCCATATTTCCTTACTCAGAAATCACCCACAGCAAACCGGGGAGTACACTGGTTGGATATGAAAAAGATCAAGCCTGTTCAAAAAATAAATGATAGAGTCTTAATATAAATATGACTGATATAAAAGCGTGTTCTTTACATGTGCATCAACTTTGGATGAAAACATGAAACCAGCATGCAAAGGCCTCTGGAAATCGAACATCTTGGTCATCTTAACAGTAATCCTGGAGAATACCTTAATGATGTCAAACTGCGGCTCACATCTCCTGACCTCACACCCCAACATCAGACGCTTGGCCTCTTCGTCTGTCTGCTCCCTTTGTTTGACGCAGTCATCAGTGACATCATCCCAAGGCACCTGCCTTCCAGCGTCACAGTGTTTACAACAAGTGTGTCACCGTGTAAATAAAGCAAGAGTAATGACAGATTCGTAAAGCGCAGAGTGCTGCCTCTGAATTATATTCTTCAGACATTTCACCTGCCACACATTTCCTTAGAACAGGTTCTGGCTGGATACCGATTCCAGGCAGCGTGTTGCTCATGTTTTTGTGCGTGTTTGTGTGCAAATGTGCGTGCAGAGCACCAGTAGGCTGCATGGCACACAAAACAAAGCAATTTTATACAATTGGTGATGATTTGTCTGCACACCACACACAATGAACACTTACTGGACACAAAAAAGCTGATGACATAAAAGATAACGTCAGCAAACAAATTTGCCTAAATCAATAATGATATTTTGTTAAAAGAAAATGAATTGCCCAAATAAATCATTTGTAAAATTGATTGCATCATACAATGTTTTTTTTAGGTCTGTTTGGTAGGGTGAAATGTTGTGTAATGGATAGTATAGTTTTTTAAAAACCGGGACTCTTATACACAGAGAAAAACAAACACGCATAGGGACAAAGAAGAGTGAGATGGATTAAAAATTAACAAAAAGAAGACTGTGATAGGTCTGCAGGCACTAATGCAGGGACAGTCAATCGGAGAGAGAAGAAAAGAGAGTCTACAGAAAAATCTCAGAGCAAAAAAAGAGACAGAAAAGAGCAAAGCAGCAAACACAAAGAGGCTTTAATATATAATCAAGTGGTGACTCACACACTTTAGTCAAGACACTCACATGCATGTTCCTGCGTGCGTGCGCGCACACACACACACACACAGACACACGCATACAGATCAAAACACAAAGCTCTGGCTGCCTTTCTAACCCTGTTCTTTTCAAACAGCCGGCGAGGGAGGCAAGCCTCTGGGGACTCAGAAGGCAGAGTGAACCCAGCACCCCTCCCTTATCAGCCTGATGTAACAGGAACTGACCCACTCGGCTGACCCTCCAAAATCACAGCCTGGCTGCAAGATCATCCAATGGACCAAGAGCCCCTCTTTTATTTGGCTCTCTTTGTAATTGTGTCTTTCCTTTTCTGTAATAGACACTGACCCCAAAGTCAAACTGAGCTCCACAGAGGGCAGAGTGGGGGGCCAGGTAAGAAACAGATAGTAATCCACTCCTGATTTAAAGGTTTGGAGGTTTTCTGTCCTGTTCTTACATTAATAATGTGTTTAAAGCAAAGAACAGGCTGTCTGTAAAACCCTTTATATATATTTTGTGCCACAAGGTTTCCTGTATGATCCATTTATTTATATGAAATATATCTGAAATCTGAGAAAAGCTATGTATTGCTTTATTGTTCACCATCTCCTGACAGCATGCTGGTGTCAGATATCATTTTGTATGGCATGGCAAAGAACGCCTGTTAACAGTTTTTAGCATTAATATTCTGTTAAATTCCAATGCTTTTGAAGAGAATTACAGATTAGCTGTTACCAGAGTTTATGTCTTTGTTGATGAGTTTTGGTAACACTGTACTTGAAGCCTATCTCTATTTGGCATTGTTATGACTGGGGTCATAATTGGTTGAGTGTCTGCTGGGTGTGTGTGCTCTGTGTTTTCTCTGTGTCAATCTTGTATGCAAATAGGTGTGTGCCACAGCAACGCGGTCATTGGTGGGATGGACTACGCCCTGTATGGTGATTGGCCGAGACCAGCTATATCAAGAACCAAGATGGCAGCCACCATGTGCAGAGGCCAGGCGTTCCTCATCCTCCTCCTCTCCCAACCGGCCACCCTATTTTGCAGCTTAAAGACTATGGTGTATTGTGTTCTGTTTTCCTTCAGTAGTAGGGGTGGACTGCCAGTTTTGTTAACATTATTTTCTCCTGTATATTTTAGTTAGGGAGGTAAGTCTTTGTCATTTGTTTCCTTTGTTTTGGTTAGGTTAGCATTACTCTACAGACAGGATCGTTTTGGTTGTTGTTTTGGCCTTGGTCCACCCTGAAGTCTAGTCATCCAGCCTTAGTTCCTTTGTCTATCTTTTGTTATTTCCTGAATTATGTAAATAAATCTGTGTTTTAAAATTGAGCTGAAATCTCGGTTGTTGTGGCTACTTGGGACTTGGGGATGATGAGGCCTTCTCATGTTGTGCCCTAGGCACCCCTAGACTGGGGCGTAACATGAATTGGGGGCTCGTCCGTCTTCTTGTCGCGTTTTCTTCGGTGAGTATGTGTTTTTCTGGTTGGTAGTTTTTTTTGTGTGTGGGGGGAATTATGGATTTTTCACTGGATGATTTTATGGCCAGTCCCTCTTTTGCAAAAATTGAAAAATGTAAAAAAGCAGACCTGTTGATTGTGGCAAATTTCTTTAATGTAAAAGTACCATACAATGTCAACAAAGCAGAGCTCAAACAGTTGCTGTGTGCACAGTTGGTGGAGCAGGGCGTCTTACCTAAACCAGCGCTTGATGCGGTTGCTGCGGGTGATGTGGCTAGTGTCGCACCGGGGGCTGAGGTGAAAGCGGCGGGGGCTGCTGGCACGCTCGCTGCTGGTGCGGAACTTGGGCCGGTCACGGATCCTCTCATGGGTACCATGACCACAGAGGATCTCCGCATAGCACTCCAAATAAAGGAGGCAGAGACCCGAAACAAACAGCTAGAGGTACAAGCAAAGGAGGCCGAGACCCGAAACAAACAGCTAGAGGTACAAGCCTTGCATCTACGCTTAAGGGTTCTCGAGCTGGAAAAAGGAGCCTTTGCAGCCTCTACCCCAGTGCCTCCTGTTGACCGCAGCTCTGTTTCTGCTCCCGCTTTTGACATAAGTAAGCACATTGCTTTAGTCCCTCCGTTTCGTGAGTCCGAGGTGGACTCGTATTTTAGCGCTTTCGAGCGGATAGCTGCTGCCCTGAGTTGGCCTAAAGAGTTCTGGTCCCTTCTCCTCCAGTGTAAATTAGTGGGGAAAGCTCAAGAAGTCTGTGCCAGTCTGTCTATCGAGGATAGTCTTGATTATAAAATCTTGAAAAAGACTGTGTTGCAGGCCTACGAGCTGGTCCCTGAAGCCTATCGGCAAAAATTTAGAAATAGTGAGAAAACTTCCAACCAGACTTATGTTGAATTTGTGCGTGACAAGAGCGTTCTGTTTGATAAATGGTGCCACGCGTGTAATATTAAAACTATGGCGGAAATGAGAGAGCTCATTTTGCTCGAGGAATTTAAAAAGTGTTTGCCGGAGCGAATTGTCGTATATTTGAATGAGCAAAAGGAGTCATCGGTAACGAAAGCAGCTGTGCTCGCCGATGCGTTCATTTTGACTCATAAAAGCGTTTTTTCTTTGCCAACCCCTCGTGTTTTACATCCAATGTCTGAGCGCAGAAACCGATCGCCAAAGCTGATGCGTAAAAGCACCTCACCAGCTGCGGGTGAGAGCCGCGAGTGTTTTTATTGCCACGAGCCAGGCCATTTGATCGCTGCATGTCCGACTCTTAGAAAAAAAGGACAACACAAAAACGGTAAACCTCCTGCAGGTGTGGGTTTCATTAACACCGTGTCCCCGCCTGTAACACTCCCGGAGTCTTTACCTGAAGCCGAGGTAAATGTGGAGGTTGACCCTCGTTTCAAACCGTTCGTTTCACAAGGATTTGTTTCTGTAACTGGCGAGGAAGCGGATAAAGTACCGGTAACTATTCTCCGAGATACAGCCGCCTATCATTCATTCATTCTGGCTAGTGTTCTGCCACTCTCAAATGAAACTTCATGTTTCTCTGATTTGTTAGTGTGGGGAATTAAAATGAGCGAACTTAACGCCCCACTTCACATGATTCACTTGCATTCACCGCTCGCGTCGGGGCGTGTGAAAGTTGCCGTGCTCCCACGGTTTCCGATTAGTGGCATTTCGTTTATTTTGGGTAACGATCTGGCCGGAGGAAATGTGTTTCCTCTGCCAGAGGTCGTTAACGATCCCATTTCGGTGACGTCTGCCTGCTGCCCCACCTCTGTTTCTTCTGCTGTGTCTGTGCCAAATGTGTTTCCTGTGTACGCAGTTACGCACGCACAGGCTCGTAAATGGGGTAAAGCTGGGGATTTATGTAATTCGTTTATGGCTACGTTAGATGTGGGTGAGCCCTCCTTTTCAGTGTCCCCCGCTACTGAGTGTGAAAATGTATCAAAATGTGTCTCTGAGCCTGATGTGTTTCCTGCTGACGCAGACTTGAGTTTAAACGTGACCCGAGAAATGTTGATAAGTGCTCAGAGAAATGATCCGTCTCTAAATTTGTGTCTGTCCTCTGTTGTAGCCGCCGAGGACGACAGCCAGACTTGTGTGTTTTTCGTGGACAACGGTGTCTTGATGAGACGGTGGAGTCCCGACTCCAGGGAGATACCCGTTGTTAATCAGGTGGTTGTGCCAACAGACTATCGAGCGCAAATTTTGAGTCTGGCACATGACTCCAGCTTAGCTGGCCACCTCGGTGTTAAAAAGACATATCATCGTGTGTTGCGCAATTTTTTTTGGCCTGGGTTAAAATCCATAATGCGCAAATACTGCCTCGAGTCCAACAGAGAGTGGGATGAGGGCTTCGTTCTTCTGTTATTTGCCGTGCGTGAAACTCCTCACAGAAAATGTGATAGCAGACGCTTTGTTGCGGTGTTCCTCAAATCCGTAGGTATTAAACATTTAGGGGGATGTTTAATTCTTGGGTGTGGGGGTGTTATGACTGGGGTCATAATTGGTTGAGTGTCTGCTGGGTGTGTGTGCTCTGTGTTTTCTCTGTGTCAATCTTGTATGCAAATAGGTGTGTGCCACAGCAACGCGGTCATTGGTGGGATGGACTACGCCCTGTATGGTGATTGGCCGAGACCAGCTATATCAAGAACCAAGATGGCAGCCACCATGTGCAGAGGCCAGGCGTTCCTCATCCTCCTCCTCTCCCAACCGGCCACCCTATTTTGCAGCTTAAAGACTATGGTGTATTGTGTTCTGTTTTCCTTCAGTAGTAGGGGTGGACTGCCAGTTTTGTTAACATTATTTTCTCCTGTATATTTTAGTTAGGGAGGTAAGTCTTTGTCATTTGTTTCCTTTGTTTTGGTTAGGTTAGCATTACTCTACAGACAGGATCGTTTTGGTTGTTGTTTTGGCCTTGGTCCACCCTGAAGTCTAGTCATCCAGCCTTAGTTCCTTTGTCTATCTTTTGTTATTTCCTGAATTATGTAAATAAATCTGTGTTTTAAAATTGAGCTGAAATCTCGGTTGTTGTGGCTACTTGGGACTTGGGGATGATGAGGCCTTCTCATGTTGTGCCCTAGGCACCCCTAGACTGGGGCGTAACAGGCATAATCCATTATAATGGCGTTATAGCACTGTATAACTAGAGTTCTAAACACTCATTAATTATCATAAGGCTTTAAAGCAATAATCATAACAGATTATAAAGCATTTTATCATGACTTACAAAGTTGGGTATTATAATGTGTCATGCTTTTTGTTATAAAGCCTTATGATAATTAATGAGTGTTTATAATGATAGTTATACAAGTTTATAAGCAAATTATAACACATCATAAATATATGTATAATGCGTTATCTATGTGGGCATTATCAGTGAGTTGTTAACAGTTATAACCATAGACTGTATATAGAATGGACGCCATCTGCCTCCTTGCTGGGTGAAGCCACTCCGAGAATAGCACCCTCTGTTGATGGGCTGCAGTATAGGTCATAAATCCCGCCTCCGCCAGCAAAGCTTATGGGGCTGTGGACAAACTTAAGAAATTTATTACACAGAACATATGTTTTTCTCCCCCCTGGTTGCGCTGCCACCACCGTACCAATTGTCCCCGGATTTCATTACAGACATCTGGTCACCTTATTGTTTGAGACGAGCGTCATCACAGCGACTCTCGGCGAGGCAGAACCAAGTTGTCCATAGTATATACAGTCCATGGTTATAACACATTATAATACCTGACCTTGTAAGTCATGATAAAATGCTTTATAATGTGTTATTATTATTGATATACAGCATTATGATCATTTATGAGTGTTTATAACTGAAGTTATACAGTGCTACAATGTGATTATAATGCATTATAAATATATTTATAATGCGTTATGGAGATAGGCGTCAAATAAAGTGTTACCAAGGTGTTCATTATCTGTGCCCACATCTGCCAACAACTTTTAATATAAACTCTTCAGGTCATCAGAGAAGGACATTTTTCAGTATGCCCCTCCAGTTGATAAACTGATTGAAGACTTTGTCCTATAGACATAAACCTTTTCATTCAGCTGTCTTAGCCAGATTTTTCACATGTTCGTCATTAAAACCAAAAGAGACTTGACTGGGACTTCACTGAAACTTGCAAGAAGTGGCTTGTGCCCGTCTATGTTTACATGTACACCATTTTTCTATGATATGCTGCAGTCAGTTTAGACAAACCAACTCAGTGAGGCAAAGTCATACACAGCAACAAAAACAAAGGGAAGGAAGATACTGAGTAGTCACTCCTCCTCTCTTTGTACTTGAAATAAGGATTGTGGACTCTTGGAAATCACATCAAGTCTTGTCACGAGGGCTTTATTAGCAAGTGTGGTGGGAAGGCTGCAGTGTGTGATTCACCCTCCTCATTTCCTGTTGACCACAGTCACAGAGCCTCAAAGCTCCTCATGGACCAGGCCAACAGGGAGTGGATCTCAGCTGATAATAGGAAGCTACAGATGAGAGAGAAAATGTGACTCTACCACCATGAACACTCTCCTCTAGACGAGTTCTCATTAGTGGCCATGTGTGAGATGATAAGGTGTGAATTACGCTGAGTGTCAGGCGTGACCAGATTTTACACGGTCACAGACTCAGAGCCTAATTGGACTGATGGCTGCCTCACTCATCTTGTTGTTGTTTTTGTTGCTGAAAGCTGAGATGGTTTGAGACCTCCCAAAGAAAATTAAGTATGAAATAACAAAGGAATGTCTGTGTGACTTTCTGACATGATAACAAACCCACATTGCCTTTCACTGTGCTATGTATTTTAATAACACAAACCTAAGAGATACACAGAATATCATGCACAAAAAAGCAACACACTGGCTGTTGAACACATGCATCCACCAGTATTATGTATTCAAACAGTCCAGACTCACACCCTCTTACCCACACTCTGTTTGTCTCAGAGACAAATACCGAATCTGAATTCTTCTCACTCCTCCTCTTTAAGATGGAGGCGGTGCGGCTGCTGGTGGTGATATTGACGTAGCAGTTCTGATTCTCATGCTCCAGCATTACAACCAATCCTGGAGGATTAAGGTAAGAGAAGAAGAGTTAGTCATTACCCTGCTATGAGCGTCATCTGCTGTGAGCAGCACTCTTCTGCTGTGCTGTTATTTTAATTGAGAGGTCAGAGCCTCACCTTCACTTGCAGGGATGGTGGGAGACAAGAGCCTCATAGCAGGTGTAATTGTAGAGTTTCATACATCCATTATTCAGAGCCACATGAGGCTGACAGAGAAGTCAGGCTCAGAATCAGAACAGCAGCTTTATGGGGAATATTAAAGGGACTGTTCTTTCTCTTAAAGTAGGCTGTGTAAGGTCTTGTCAATATTAAGGGATTTACTCACTTTGGGGATCATGGTCAGCTCTGCCCTTTAGCTGGATTTTCTCAGATCATTTATAGATGAAACAACATGATAGGATATTTGAACAGCTTTTTGACAATCCCTCAAAAAAATAAAAAAATAAAATAACAAAAACCGTATTGTAATTACTTTTTTGATCCAAACCAAAAAACACTCTCAACACTATCACCAGCTATATCCAGGATATTTTTATTCTTATGTTTACCAAGAACAGACCTGCATATCAGACAAGTTATGCCAAAATACACATGGTCTAATATAAAATTAATGAATATAAAGTGAACATACAATTACTCTAAATTTACATTATCAGCAAGTTTAAATTATTTATTTTTCCCACACATTCATTTTTTGTCTACAAACTATTTTGTAGCTCCCTAATTATTTGTGAAATCTGGGACAGTACCTCCAGACCAAGACAGAAAAATAAATGCACAGTTTAATACACACTCATTTCAAAAACCCTTTCATGAAGATCTTTTGTATTTAGTCATTTTAACTTAAAGAAGCTTCTTTTCTATCATATCAACTTCTCAAGATTCAGAGTCAAGCAGTTAAAATAAACAGTAAATCAAGGTAATCTTGATTTAGGCCATGCAGGCAAACAGATCCCACTTTCACTCCGTCACTTGGAGGGACGGACTGAAGCCCAGTCATGTCTTGACAAACATACCAACAAATCCTGTGACTCATCAGCCCCTGCTGTCTTTCACTTCACCAGACACTACCATATCCTCTCAGGTGTCTTCCCTTTTGCTGCCTTTCTCAGTTTTATCTGTGTCACGTGGCTCTTTTTATTGTTCTCTAATCTCTTCTACCCCTCTTATACACTCATGCACACACATACACACACAGTGTCAGATGGGATGATTTGCTGCTGACACTTTCCATGATGTGTTCCTGTCTCAGCGCTGACACATTTGCTGTTATAATAAGGCCGTCGTGCTCTCACCGTACGGCAAACAGTGAGCTACATTCATAAATCTGCTTCATAAAAAACAACCAGGTGCACCATCGGTGAATCAGCTTCAACATAACCAGGTGTGGGGTGGCAGGTCTGATTCTGCCCTAGAAAAAGAATTTGCAGATTTAGTAATCCATCTTTAGTGGTTCAAATACAAAACTCCTCTATAAAGGTAAAAAATGCCCTTTATATATAAAATAGGGTCTCTTGTTCATCATAAGAGGCTGGTTAAATGATTGAAAATTAGATCTCATCCAAAATAAGGTTGTGAAAGACTCAGGAAGCCTCTGTAATATTTTGTTTGAAATCCACAGTGAGTCAAAACATGACAACCATTTGGCCAGCTGAAAGTACTGATTATATGGTTGTTCCTCAAAAGTAAAGCAGGGAAACTCAAATCCTGCCCTACTGGCAGACTAAGAGTCTCATCTCCTCCATGTTGTTGGTTGTTGTTTGTTTTCTAACCCTTCAGGGACCAGCTGATATTTGTGTTTCAAACACAGTGAAGAGCAGCACAACACAGAGGGTCAGGCGTACTGTTGTTCTTGAAGCCAAGTTGAATGTCCATGTCCACACAGGCTCAATACATTGTCTAAAAACATGATCACAATCTATTTTGAACTGTCTGTCTTTCTCATGGTCGGCTATTGTGGATGCTGAATGAGACTCACCTGGGGTATTGAACGGCTCTACTTGCCACTCTTGAAAGGGAGTGTTTTTTACTCTACACTATATAGGTAACTGAAGTGTTATCAAGCATGATGTTTAATGGCAGCTGGAGTCAGCTTTACTGTACACAGCATGCGTCTAGCTTAGCTTATGCTGCTAGCTATTCAGAAACAGATGACGATGCATTTGAAGCTAGCAATCATTAAGTTTTATCATCAAATTTGGGCAGATTCACAGGAGTTTTCTGAGAATGGAGAATAATTCTCTTTCTGTGTTGATCAGTGTTTCTTCACCCTTTGCCCTTTATTTGAAACCACCTCATCCACAATGTCTTTTACATTTTCCTGGTGTATTTGGTTGTTCGGGTAGAAACTTTAGCAAAATATTCAGCCAACAAATCAACATCTCATTGCTTAAGTTTTAGTATCATGTTTGTAAGCATCTAAGTTTTCAAAGCTGCAGGGTTTTTTCTTAAATTTAATTGGTGAAACATACTCGAAAGGGATTTTCTTGGATATGGTAGAATAGGGTGACCAGATGTCCTCTTTTCCCCGGACATGTCCTCTTTTTGGGGGCTGCCCGGCCTGTCCGGCCTCATCCAGTTTTGTCTGGGGGAGTTTATAAAATCCTTCAAATATTCAGGGTTTTGTATGGAAGTTTTGAGTTTGTGTCGCGTAGACTAATTGAGTTAGAAGCTCGTAAAATACACTCAATAAGACCCAAAAAACTCTCAAAATTAACTCTGTGACTCTGCCCCCGTATAGTCGTGTGCTCTTTTTGGGGATTCAGAATATGGTCACTCTATGGTAGAATAATAGAGTGTTTATATATTGTAGGAAATGTCAGTGATTGAGTACCAAGCATTGAAGCACAGCAGCCTAAACTTTAAAAGAATTTAGGTGCCTCTAAAATAACAATTTATGAAGCTATGAATAAGAACTAGTTAACTCTGTATGAACTGAACTTTGTGCTAGCACATTCTTAGTCTGACTTGCACTGATTGTAGGTTTATCAAATTTGACTGTTGTGAGCCAAATTACCTGAGGCACAAGAAATTAACTGGAACGGCA